GGGCTACGAGGTCGGATTTGATGCGGTTCAGTATCGGATTACATGTTTAAACTCTGTGAGACTCTCGCAAGACTCTTGCAACAGTCTTGGTCTTGACCTTGCAGACATAGTCTTGGACTTGCAAAAAATGCAAGGCCAAGATCAGGCACGCTCATCACTACACACAAGCCTCATCAAACTGGCATTGTCTTGGACATTGGAGATAAAATAATTCTTGAGGTTGACGACAAAGTGGAACAGTGGTATGGCTATAGCAAAAACCCTTGATAATACAGTGAAGTATGTTTGTCATTTTGCAAACAACTAGGGGACAAATGAAGTGTCTTATCTGAAACGCCTGCTAAAAACAATAAAGGACAGTGGCAACAATAAATTTCCTCACCTCCTCCAGAGCTGGATAGCTGCGAACCGGCCCATTATCATGCATGTTGACTATGGGATTTCCGGACACATTCAGCCACCCCAAGCCTGGCAAAGTAGTCTCGGACAGGGCGGCATTCGGCACGTGATGAAATCGATTCTCGGACAGATCCAGCCACTTGAGCAGCGCCGACTTATGGAAAAAATTAGCCGGAATGGTGGCCAGCCGGTTCTTGCTCAGATCGGCCGAAACCAGCCGACTCAGACTGGTCGAACTGAACCCGGTCAGGCCCGATATGCTGTTGTGGCTCAGATCGAGGTGCCGCAAGTTCGGCATGCCGTTCAAATGGTACACTTCCAAAGTGACGAACTTGTTCCGCGCCAATGCCAGCCTCTCCATCGTCGATATGTTCGATAGCGCGATATGCGGTATCTGAATGAACTGGTTGTCGTTCAAGTTCAACTCCTGCAGGATGTTCAGCTGCAGAAAAATGCTGGAATAGAGCGCGCTCAGTGAGTTCGCGCTCAAGTCCAGTTTGATGATGTTCTTGTTCTTCGCGAAAACGCCAGCCGGCAATTTTTCGATGCTGCAATTGTGCAGCGCCAGCTCCTGCAACGAGGGCAGGCCATTAAGGGCCCTCTCATCTAAATTGCGCAAGTTGTTAAGCGACAGCTTTAAAACTCTCAGGCCCGGAATGTTCAGATGGCGAAGATCCCGCACGCTTAATGCATTGCTGGCTAAGCTGAGCTCGTTGAGATTATTTAGGCCTGCAAAGGCGTTCGGTTCAATCTGGCAGAGCGAGCAGTTAACCAAACTCAGGACCCTAATCGGCAATCCCTTCGGGAAAATCGAACTGTTCAGGACCTTCAGCGGATTAAAGGCCAACGCCAGACGTTCCAACTTCTTCAGGTGCATTAAGGCGTCCCCTTCGATCTCCTCGACGCGATTATGGGATAAGTCCAACTCGTCCAGTTCGGCAAGTTCCGCAAAAGTATCGGCCTTGATGCGCCTCAGGCGATTGTGGCTCAGATCCAGATGCTTAAGCGTGGCGAGCGCAGCGAACGCCCCGTCCTCTATGAATGATATGCTGTTGTTGTTCAGGTAAATTTTCTGGACAGCCTCTAAGTCCCGGAATAACAGCCGGTCTAAAGCGGCGAGGCGATTGTGCCCCAGCCAGATAATTTGGCTGTTCGACTGCCCTTTGAACACGCCACTGTGCAACGTCGCAATGGCATTATCGTCCAATTGGAGCGACACCAGAGCAGTGGAGTTGGGCGGAAAAACGTCGCCCAGCATTGCAATGAAGTTCGCTTGCAGATTTATGTGCGCCAGCATCTGCAGCGTGCGAAACGCGCCCTCATCAACCGAAGAGATTTCGTTGTGCTGCAAGTGCAGCTCGAGCAAATTGGGCAATGGATCAAACACACCTCTCTGTACAGCTCGCAGTCTATTGTTGTGCAGTCTTATCTCTCTCAGAGCGAGGGTTTTCCCAAAAATGCCCGGCTCTAACTCATTAAGCTGGTTGCCGTCGAGGCTTAATGAAGTCAGATTGGAATTGTTGGCGAAAATGCGCGCTGGCAAATGCGAAATAAAATTAGAGCCCATGTGCAGCTGAGTTAAGTTCGTTAGAGTGAAGAACGTGTCGTCGTCGATGCGGCTGATCGAGTTGGCCTGCATGTAAATCACCGATATGTTCATCGAGTCGGTGAAAGTGTCGCGCAGCACCTGCAGAATGTTGTTCTCGGTTAAAAACACCTCCTTGAGGTCGGGCAGGAAGGCAAACAGCCCGCCGACGTAATGCAGATGATTGTGGCTCAAATCGATCGAGCGGATTCTCTTGTTGTGCCGAAACGTCGTCGAGTCCAAGTAGCCAATGCGATTGTGACTGAGATCCAGACTTTCCAAGTCGCGCAACATAATGAACGTTTGCGCATGGATCGTCTCGATTTCGTTGTTGAACAGCGACAACGTCCTCAAGGCCAGACACACCTTGAACGTTTCCCGGTTGATCTTCCGGAACCGGTTGAAACTCAGGTCCAAGTTAATGAGCGAATTTAGGTGCGAATAACTATCACTGGTGATCGCACTGATTTGATTAACGGCCAGGCGGAGTTGTTGCAGTTGTTCCAGACGTTTCAGCGCGTTCATTGGGAAGTCGCGCAGCTCGTTTCCTGATATGTCCAGTTCGGAAATTGTCGCCTCGAGACCGGCAAACGAATAATCCGTTGTCTGAAAATGGAGAATAGGGATGACATGAAATACTTGTCGCAGGTATTTTGGAACAGATATCGATATGGAACAGTCGGCACCTGTTACCAGTATTCAAAATAACATGTGATTTGAAATAACAGGGCTCGCTGCAT